GCGTGTCGACATTAATCATTCACAATTCGTTTGGCACGTGATATGGTAAGGTCTGTCTGTCTGTAAGGTAAGGCTTTGTCGCCTCTTTCAACACTAAACAGTCACCACAAGAAGCTGGTTTCCGTGGGGGGTTTTTAATGTCCGTTTTCGATGGGAATGAGATTGGAGATAGTTGAAAGGAGAATCATAAAAATTCTATATTACTATACAACTAAATATGCTTGAATGTCGTGTTAGTGGTACCCTTTTCTTTATTCTACCAAACGACGTGCGATTACATTGCTTTACATGGTACAGTTAGCTTCATTTAAACACCTTTACGCTTTTCCCCCCTTATTAATGTCCCATGGCTCAGGGATTAAAGAGAGATCATTTTGGTGTCACAATGGCACGGGGGATTTAACGCCCCTATAAATATTGTGAGGTTATTGAAGAGCGGGGACTTACAAGTTAATGTCCGTTCCCTGAAAGAACAAGACATGTTGGCTAATCTGTTCATTTGTTTGTTTATTTGTTTGCTTTTGTGTGTGTGTTTGTTTGTTTATTTGCTTGGTTGTTCGTTTTTTTAGGTGTGTATGGTTTGGGAAGGGGTAGGGGGAGGGAGGAGGTCTTGACAACATCTTTAATAACAAAACAATAAGAGTGACCAATATGAGGTTCAAACTGAGAGTAGGCCTACTTGCAAGGAAAGAGTTAATTGAAGCACACCTCTTCTAAAAATATACGTTTTGTAACCGAGATGTGTCCTGCCCGTTTAAGATTTCTTCATGCATAAAACCGCGTGCATAGTGTGCTTTTAATAGCATTGCTGTACGGCTCCGGTGACTAAGCTAATTAAAGGGCCGACTGATTAAAACATCAGCTCCCACTTCATCAGATCCCTATACATGACTACCCGTGGTTGAACAAAACATTAAAGCTTTGCTTCAAGCTGAGACGATACCGCCTTAATCGCAAACCCAAGCACCGCGTTCACCTTACCTGTTTGGGTTTAAAAAAATATAACTACACATTTGTAAAAGAATTAAAAATATAACT